CATCGAAATCTATGACTCTTTGTTAATAATTAATTCTAAATTTAAATTTTTAAAATATTTGTGAAAATTTATCTTAATAAGTACATTTTAAAGTAATGTTCTTCAACTTTAATATGTGTTCATTCATATTATTATTATTTCTTATTATTCATATATATATATATAAGTGAAAGTTGTTGAAAATATTAACATATTTTAAGGTCATCGAAATCTATGACTCTTTGTTAATAATTAACTCTGAATTTAAAATATTTGTTTTCAAAATATTTGTGCAATTGTTATTATAATAGCTTCCGGTCGTAAATTGCGTCCGGTAGGAATTTTATCCCAGCTTCGTCAGCATTGTAGGGGTCAAATGATACGCTGACACAATCATATCCTGGTGATATCGATGTTTTTATATTTTTTTGATGTCATCAATGGCCAATAAGGATTTTTCAATCTATAGCATTGGACAATTTTTCTAATAATTTTTCTTTCCTTTCTTGATTTTAGCCTTCCTTATCGTTTTTTGGAATCGTAAGAGAGTGCATTTGAGTTCAGAAAAATATTTTGTTTTGGATTTGTTTTATATTATATTTTTGTTTTGGCTTCAAAAAAATTTCATTTCCAGTTTTGCACATAGATTTTGGGATTTTTAATTATTATTATTCTTTTGCTCATTTTTATTATTTTCTTTTTTTTTTATATTTATTAGATGACAATTTAAATTTAAATCTGAAAATAGCTGGAAATGTAAGACGAGATTTCAAAATATCTAAGTTTCGAGAATTCAAATGACGTTTTAAGATTATCAGAAAAACGTAGAATTATTGGATTATAGGAACATTAAATTGTCGATGAAAAAAAATTTGTCCATATTTGAATTGTTGTTACAACTTCGCGATACTGGTATCATTTTTTGTTTCATATTTTATCTTTTATAATTTTATGATTTAACAAAAAAGAAAAAAAAAATTGTCGATATTTGAACTGTTATAATTTCACGATAATGTTGCATATTTTTTAATTTTATTTTTGCCTCGTATTCTATCTTTCATAATTTTGTATAATACAATCTTCGAATATTTTTTTAAAATTCTGAGATACTTTCTTTTTCACACTTCTAACATTCAATTCTTTTACATATATTTTTTATTTTCGTTACGTTTATGTATTTTTTTATTATGCTTAAGTTGAGACTTTTGTTTTTGTAGTATTCCCTGATGTTTCAACTATTGATAAGCCTTTTTGTTTATGACCAAGAGATGAATGTTGTATCTTAAATGATTTAAGACTGAAGCGTAAATGGTCGACGAAGTCACATAGACTTGCGTTTACTTGTTTACTTCTTTCAGGATGATATACGATTTAGTTTTTAATATGATATACGCATGTTTTGGTTTTTCATATACGAATATCCTTTTTATCAATGCAAATTTTAAATGATTTCCAAAGGTATAAAAAGGTATAAATTGTTAAGATCTCGAATCGATCGATCAGTTCAACACGTTTGTCACATCGTATATATATATATATATATTATAATGGTTTTTCTTAGTGTTCAAAGTATTTGAAATATTATTTATTATATACATATTTTAATATTTTATAATAGAACGATATTTTCTTTGTCCTATAATAAAAGAATTAAGTTTTTGAATTCGATCTTCTATACCCTATAAATTTGATTTACTCAGTAGAACTCGTATTTAAAGAAAGTAAGATATAAACGAGTACTTGTGAGAGAGATGACGTGGAATGAGACATCTAACGATAACGAACTGAAATACCGTGGAACGCCTACTCCTATATAAGACAGAATGCCACTCATATGTATCAGAAGACGTGACATTCAGGTTCTAAACACCATCAAGGATACACGATGTTTTCAAACGATCAGCCATCTAAGTATGTATTAATCGTGCTCGACGTAGCCTAATTTTCGTTGCTTAATTCAATTTGGATCCATAATGGAATTTCTTTTGTTTAAATCGAAGAACAAATTGATGGTCACTTTTGACCTAGAATTTCTCTCGTTTAGGTTATTAAATAAATTGATACGTTAATTTTGACCTAATAATAGAGCTTCTTTCGTTTGAGTCATAAAATAAATTGAACGTCAGATCATTTTTGATCTATAATAGAATTTTTCTCGTTTCGATATTGTAAAACCAATTATTGGACGTTGAATCACTTCTGACCTATAACATAATTTCTCTCGTTTCAATTATAAAATAAATTGGCTCACTTTTAACCTGTAATATGTTTTTTTTTTTCGTTTGAGTTATAAAATAAATCTTTAAAAGAATGTCACTTATTTCATTTATTGGTAATTATGCAAAAAAGAGATCATTTTATTAATTTCAATGATCAATTTTTAAAATATTATCAGGGATCCTACTTTGAGCAACTTTTTTCTATACATGATATCGCTACTCGATTTTAGTTTCCGAGTTATACGTTAGTTAAATATATTAAATGGAATAGATTTGGATTAAGTAATATTTGGATTAGATTTACATTAAATTATTTAACCGAATTCAATTAAACTGATAATTTAAACCCAAACTTAATTAAATAATTCGATAATTATTTGATAATAATTAAAAATACAATTATGATGTATATTAAATATATATATTGTTTATTACATATTAATCCATTTAAATCTTCCTTATACTGTATTGACTAAAAATATTTCTATTATATTAAAATCATTATATAATCAGCATAGTACTAAGTTTGATTTTTATATCATGAAATATTAGTTTATATACTTTTCTCCATGCGAAAGTAATGGCAAAAATATTTATAAATTCATTACAGATTTAGCATATAATTAATAGAATTTATATAAATAAAGAACTTATATAAAAAAAATTATAAATAAAATATATTTGAAACAAAATAATAATCATATATACATAATTTCTTCTATAATTAATTTTAATCAATAGATCAAGATCAGTAGATTCACGTAGCATTATTCAATATCATTATCACCATAAATAAAATTTAGATTATACAGAAAGAGCGATCGCTGCCAGATCTCCTATGCCAGAAAGTTTTTTGTAAATATCTCGAAAATTAAGACTGAACGGCAGTAACATGTATAGAAAAAAGTTGTTCAAAATGATAACCCTAACAACATATTCGAAATAAATCGAAATCAATGAGATGACTTCTTTTCTGCATAATTATCCATTTCTTTTTTATAATATATTTCAAATAAATCGAAATTGATAAAGTGATTCCTTTCTTATTAATTATTAATTATTAATTTATTATTAATTATTAATTCCTTTTTATATTAATTATTAATTTATTTTTCCCATTGTTGTTCAAAATGATAACATATATCAAATAATCGAAATAATCATTTTTTTTTATAATTATTCATATTTTTTATAATTAATCATAATTTTTTATATAATTTTTATAATTATTTTTATAATTTATTTTCGACATATATTTTAATTAAAACTTGCTAAGATTTTGTTGTCGCTATGTAATAAAAAAATTTTTTAAAATGACAAATAAACAATAACATAATAATAGATTTCAAGAATTTTTAAAATTAATTGAATAATTTTATAAAATAACATAGAATATTTTAAATATTTAAAAATTTTTTAAACATCTTTCTTGGTAATAATAAGTTGTAAACTTAGAATCAAAAACAATTATATTTTATTACTAGAATTCATTGGAGACAATATTTTTAATGAAAAGATTTTTCGGAAAACGAAAAAATAAAAAATAATTAAAATAAGCACACTGAAACAGAAGGAAATTTTAATTTATTCTCAATAAATTCGAAATCGATAACTTCTTTTATATCAATTTATTTATTATCTATTCGCAAAAAAATCGAAAAATCAGCAATAGGACTCGCGATATCTAGCACGCCGAAGAGATCTAAGACGATCTAAGATTTTCTAAGACGATCCGTGATATTTCAGCGTTCGCATTCGAGTCCTTTGGTGTCGCGTTGCGGAAGCAAACGGAAGCCGCTTGATGCGCGCTGCCCGATGTCCTTCCGAAGGACGGTGAAGCACAGAGAGCAGACGGCTTAGTGGCACGCGGAGGGCGAAAGCGATAACACAGGATGAGATCGTGCGATTCCGCGCGCGTCACGTTCCGCATTCGGCTTAGTAAGCGGCGTGAGTTCGCTTCGTTAAGGCCGATTCATCCATGCCAGTCGAGTGTCAGAAATCGCGAATGTTGCGTACGCAGCCGTGATCACGGTCACTCGTTTCGTATCTGACCCGTATTGGCCGAACGGAGCCGGTTTTCACGCGGGCGTAGTCGCGCTGGAAATTAGATACGAGATATCTCAAATTGGAAACGGAAGCAGAACGGAGGAGAACCGAGGGCACGATCGAAAGGATCCCGCCGATGAGACGCGACGCAGCGACGACGCATGCGAACGAGGAGAACGATTGCCGCGATAAGCCGTGGGAACGGTGATAACG